TTTTTATTCCAGATGAATTTTTGGAACGTTCGTTCTAGATCTGTGAAATATGCCGTTGGTAATTTAATGGGGATTGCATTGAATCTATAGATTGCTTTGGGTAGTATGGACATTTTGATGATGTTGATTCTACCAATCCATGAACACGGTATGTTCTTCCATCTGTTTATGTCTTCCTCTATCTCTTTTTTCAGTGTCCTGTAGTTTTTTGCATATAAGTCTTTTACCTCCTTAGTTAAGTTTATTCCTAGGTATTTTAATTTTTTTGGTGCAATGGTAAATGGGATTGCTTTTTTAGTTTCACTTTCTGTAAGTTCACTATTGGTGTAAAGAAATGCCATGGATTTCTTAGCATAATAGTATTTTTAATTTGCTTGATTTCTCTATAGAACACTGGTTTTCAAACTTTTCTTCTTACCAGTGGAACTTGTCTTTCTAACAACATTTTATGTGAAACCCTACTATATACAACGGGAACATCAGAGCTGCCTCCTTTGAAAGCCTTCCCTTCAAGGCTGCCGCGGAGAGCCATATTGGTTGTGTGCTGCAAAACTCGAGGGTCACCATTCACATAAACAACAGTGTGCTTATGTCGTGATCATTGTAAATACCCACCCCATGGGGATGCATCCATGGTAGAAAGAGAGGTCCACCTGGACCTATGCATGACATCAGGGTTCTTCTCTGTGTCAAAAAGACTTACTCCCTCCCCTATGCAGGGCTCTGACCTCTCCCCATACTGAGTAGGTTCCAGGGATGTTGCTTCACCGGCCCCTCTGGTGCATCACCCACCGGCTGCTGGCCAGAGCTGCTGTTAGCTGATGGCCACCTATTGACTGATTCTGTGCCCCCTCCGGTTTGCCTGGGCCGGGCTGGGTGCCAAAAGCTTAATGCAATCAGCATTGCTCGGGGATCATTCCGACGCAGCCTTTGGGATCCAATGCCAGGAACGGCTCAGTCCGAGTACGTGAGCTGTGGGAGCAGACAGTGCAGGGCTGTCTGCCCATGGACATGGAAGCTGGAGGAGGGGAGCCGGCCAATGACGAGCTGTGGGCTTCAAAGAGCTCAGCTCTGAGGATCACCCCTAGGCAGGCGCCTGCATTTCAGGTTCAGCTGGGGAACCTTGGGCTTGTTGCTTAACCCTTCTGGGCCTTCATTTCCTCATGCCTCACTCATAGGGTTGTCGTAAGAGTTAAAGAGGATAAGGTATAACTCTAATAAATCCCAGGGCCTCATGTGGCTCAGTCTCTGCTTAAAGTCTCATTTACAGAAACTTTGTCCAACAGTCTGAAAGAACTTGGAAAAGATATTCCAATTTGAATTGCATCCGTCATGTCAAAGGGGATTCCATTCTTAACTGATACCCATCCTCTCCGAATCTCTAACTTTCCCACTAGGTACAGCTTCAGTCAAGTTTTCTGGAGGACAACCTCTGAGGCGTTTTCCTCTCTCACTCCTCCTCATCCCTCACCCTCCATCCCACAGCCATTTCCTCTTAGGGCTCTTGTTTCTCTGCCCATCCTGCCACTGCTGTGTCACACACGAAAGTCAAAGGACTTGGAAATGAGCTGATAGAGATGCAGGCAGGACGTGGGTGGGGAGGTGATGGCAGGACAGCACTCCGCAGTCACGCTTGCGCCATCACGCTGGTGAAGTATAGGGCACGCATAGCAGGGCCTTGGCAGAAACTGGTTCTGTTCCTCGTTTTTCAGTCCAGGAACCTAAAGGAGGGTGAGGTATGACCTACCTGAGGTGCCTCTGACTGCCTAACACCATTCGCAGATGAGCAGTGCTTAAATGAACTCTATTTCCTCCAAAGTCCCAAAAACTAGTATTAAAAGGGTGGAGCCTGGCTAATATGACTCAGCAGTTAAGCATCGACCCAGGAACCAAGAGGTCACTAGTTCGATTCCAGGTTAGGCACATGCCCAGGTTGCAGACTTGATCCCCAGTAGAAGGTGCATGAGGCAGCTGATCGATGATGTTTCTCTCTCATTGATGTTTCTATCTCTCTATCCCTCTCACCTCTTCTCTCTCTAAAACTCAATAAAAACATTTTTTAAAAAGGTGAAGACACAGCTTCTGCCTACAATTTTCCTTCCTTTCCCTGTCACCCTGATAGCCTCTAAGCATGGACCTACCCTTCCAGCATCCTCCACCCCCACATCCCTTGTTCCATTTTTTGTGGACTCCATTCCCTTCACAGGATGTCTTTCAGATCATGAACTGAGCACTTACTATGTGCCAGGCTTATTAAAAGCTGGAGATTTGGAGACACAGACCCTGTCCTCAGTTGCTCATACATAGAAACAGACTGCAATTGCACGTGATGATGCTGTCACGGAGGGAAGCCCAGAATGCTGTGAGCGTAGAGAGGAGGAGCTCTTAACCCACTGAGATCAGGGAAGACTTCCTGGAGGAGTTGTCACCTAGCCTGTCCAATAACAATAACTGTCACATATTGAACAGTCTTTATAATGGCAATCTACACATTAAAAACCTTGCTAAGCACATTAGCTCGTTTAATCTTCACAACAATGCTGAGAGGTAGGCATTGCTATCCTCATTTCAGAAAGGAAGAAACCTAGGCTAAGAGAAATTCACTGACTTTCCCCAGGCTGCATGGCTGTCAGGCGGCAGAGCTGTGATTCAAACGCAGGCGTGTGTGACTCTGAAGACAATGATTTACCCACAGGACACAGTGTACCGGTGTTTAAGACGCACACGGAGCAAGGCTGCCTCATCAGGGGCAGCACCGTTCAGGTCTCAGGCAGAATAAGTTACTGAAACGACAGTGTTTTCAGGGGTGGGCAAACTTTTTGACTCGAGGGCCACAATGGGTTCTTAAACTGGACCGGAGGGCCGGAACAAAAGCATGGATGGAGTGTTTGTGTGAACTAATATAAATCCAAAGTAAACATCATTACATAAAAGGGTACGGTCTTTTTTTTTTTTTTATTTTTATTCATTTCAAACGGGCCGGATCCGGCCCACGGGCCGTAGTTTGCCCACGGCTGGTTTAGGTGGACACAGAGGCTCCTGGAAGAGCAGGAGAGCGTCTCCTCCTGACCGAACCGGCTGTAGCAGGTCTCCTGGGGGCAGTGGGGAGTGCGGGCACTGGGGGGAGTGCATACATCCACGTGTCTAGGTGTGTGTCCTGCCAGGGCAGCAGCCTTTGGTCATTCATCTTAACTCTAAACGTTTTTACTTGAGGAAGAGGAACCTTTTGCTGATTTGCACAAAGGTGGCGTATGGACCAGTAGTGTCCACTCCCCCCACCCCCATTACATTCAGTGCTGGGGAGGACACAGCCACAGAGCAATCTGGCCCAGCCCAGTGACGGAACTCAAAGACGAATCAGACATTTTATTTTTATTTATTTATTTTAATGAATTTGACTTTTTTTAAAAAATCTTTATTGTTGAAAGTATTACATATGTCCCCCTTTTTCCCCATTGACCCCCTCCAGCCTACCCCCACCCCCCACCCCAGGCCCTCGCCGCCCCATTGTCTGTGGCCATGGGCCACACACGAATAAGACATTTTAGCAGCCAGAATAAAGGCTCTCCGTTCAGGGCCATCAACTAACCTCCTTCTCTCTCTCTTCTCGGCAGACAGGCAGGATTGAACCCAACTACCCCAAGGTCTGTGGTCACCAGGGGAACGTGCTGGACATCAAGTGGAACCCCTTCATTGACAACATCATTGCCTCATGCTCGGAGGACACGTCGGTGAGCGGGAGGGGTGCCCTGAGGACGGTGGGCCCACGGGGCTCTCCCTGCTTCCTCCTGGAGACCTTCCTCCTTAAACTCTCCTCCTCCTCCTCCCTTCTTTGCCCTTCTGAGCCAGGATGGAGAGGGGAGTTAGGAAAAGGACTCAAGGAGCGAATCCATAGACTATCTGAGAGATCGTGTGCCGTTAGAGCGATTTCATTTGGAGGTGTTGATTTTATCGGTGAGAATTAGAACAAGATTAACTATGTGATTCAGCACCTGTCCGTGGTCTCAAAGGGAGAAGGGCAGTAGGGGGAACGTGGACAGGGAAGAAGGGGAAAGGGAAGGAAATGGATGAGGCGTGAAGAGAAAAGCCCTTTTTGCAGGCTGGGCATGGCAAATGCACCGTCTGGTCTTGTCCCCTGGGAGCCATGGCGTTAGAGAAGGACACTGGCCTGAGAACTGTCATCACTTGTCCAAGGACCCACAGTGGTGGCCGGAATTTGAATTCCATGTCCCACCACTTAATTGGAAGAGAGAAGGAATAGAAGAAGGGAAATGAGGAGGAGGGAGCAGGGGGAGATGGAGGGAAGAGGAAGAGAGAACAGGTAGGAGAGATGGGATGGGAAGGAGAAAGGGATGGAAAGAATTTGGAGAGGGGAGCTAAAGAATCCAGGGAGAGTAAACTTGGAGTTGTTTTCTGGCCAGCCTTCCCCCCAGCTCTGCTGGTTTTCACAGGGTGAGGTAGCATCAGGTGTTGGCATCGCCTTCATATTTCTGTAGAGGGTCCCTATGTCTAGTCTCACATGGCCTTGAACCTTGTCAGTGCACCAGCTTAGAAGCAAGAGGGGATTCCAGAGCATCAGCTGAGCTGTGAGGAGGGGCTGCCTGAGCCCCTAGTGTTCCCAGGTGAAGGAAAATCAGCCTTTCAGTCAGGTCACAAGCGTCTACCTGGTGCTCACTGACATATCCTGGGTACAGGTCATAGGCTCCCAGGATATTGGAACTAGAAAGGACATCAAAGCTCATGTCTCCAGACTGGACTGTGAGCTCCTGAGAACAGAGGTTCTGAATCCCAAGCATCTAGCACAGAGCCTACTGCCTAGTAAGTGCTTAGTGGGTATTGGATGGCCTGGATGATTGGATGGATGGCTAGATGGATGGCAAGGTGGGTGGATAGATGAATGGATGGATGACTACACTGATGGATAAAGACATGGCTGAATGGATGGATAATGGATAGATAGATGAATGGAAGGAAGGTGAATGGAAAGATAAATGTGTGAGTGAATAAATATAGCCCAACTAATCAGTTATCCAAAGAAAGAGAGCCACAGTAGATAGTCTCCATTGGTAAATAAAGTTGGGGAAGGAGGTCAGCTGGCACAGTACCTAGTAAATGAGAGTAGTGGAGAGGGGGCTAGGAAAGGGGATGGGCTTGACCAGCTCCCGAAGGTCAAAGCCCCAAGAGGGTTTCTGAGAGCAGCAGCAGCAGCAAGAGCAGGGCCCATGTGAGCAGAGGATCAAGAATTGGTGGTGACACGGGCCATGAGGTTCGGTTACTTTCTTCAGCTAAATGGGGACAGTGACCAGGGTCAGAGCACAGGCAGGCCAGAGGATGGACACAAGATGATGGAGCCCAGGAAGAATGAGGTCACTGGTTGCTTCTGGGGCTGGAAGGGAGGCAGCTGGAGCTGGTGGGGGCTGGAGAGGTCAGTGGTCAGTGCAGGTAAGGCCTGGGCTCAGTGGGAGAGAGGGTAGGTGGAGGCACTGCCCATCCTTCTCTTGTGGGCGCAGGGAGCCCGAGCAGTGCCAGCAACCACAGCTGGCTCCATCGCTGCTCACTAAGGTATTGAGTGACTGTCACAGCCATCAGGGAGCAAATGTCCCTGAAACTCAGGGCTGCCTCATACCGATCTCCTCCACCCAGTCTGGGCTGGACACTTTAACACAGTGAGCCCTCACAGCCACCCTGCGAGCCAGGCACTGCCACCCCCAAACTGAGGGTTGGGGGCAGGTCACACAACCAGGAAGTCGAGGGGGGCTTGTGGTCCCACGCCCTTCCTGCTCTACGAGGTCTCATCATGACATGAACCCACGGAGTTTGTGGGAAGCCTCAGGGCCCTCCCGGTGTCTCGTGTCCCTCCAGGGGAGCCAGCCGGACAGAGAAGAGCAGTGTCCCGCTTGCTGTGGGGAGGGACAGGTTAGGCCAGGGCTCTTGGGGTCACGGGCTGTCCTGGCTCCACCGCAGGTGGACACTTCTGCCTGAGTCAGGGCGAGGGTGGCAGGGGTTACTGGTGCTGATGGCCCTGCCCAGGTCTAGCTCAGCACCTTATTTCACCTGAGAGTTGGGCATAACATGCTAAAGGACCCCAGCTAATAGACCAAACATCCATGCCGTGTGGTCAAGAAAAGCATAGGGCCCCAGCCCGGGCCACACAGGCCACACGCTCCCTTCAGAGGGAAGGACCACAGGGTGCCCGCCTGCTCCTGGGTGCTGGCTGCAAAGCAAGCTTGGCCACGGACTCAGACTGGTCTGGGGTGGAACCAGCTTCACCGTGTACCAGCTGGGTGACCAGGCCGTGTCATTTACCTTCTCTGAGCCTCAGTTTTGCTCACCTTTATAACAGTAATAACGATGCCCTTTGGCAGTTGCTATGAGGATGAAAGGAGGTCTGTGCCTAGCACTGTGCCTGCCGCTCTCAGTCCTGCCCAGGAAACTCCATGAGCAGAGGCAGCATCACACCCCACTCTCTGAGATGCAGCGCAGAATGAAGTCACTGTAGCCAGGAAGGTCAAACAGGGCTGTGTGTCCAGGGTGGAGAGAGGGGTTAATTCTGAGTAAGGTGCAGGCAGGGCAGAGGGGGTGAAGGAGAGCTGGACTCTGGAGAAGGAGGACTTTGGAGGCAGAGGAAGGGTTTAATGATGTCCTAGAAGAGAGCAGAGGCACAGACCTGGAGGGCGTGCGCCTTAGGCAGCTTAGGCCAGTATGACAACATACCACAGAGTGAGTGGCTTATAAATGACAGAAAGTTATTGTTCACAGTTCTGGAGGCTGGAAAGCCAGAGATCAGGGGGCCAGGTGGTCAGGTGTCACACTGTGTCCTCACACCATAGAAGGGGCTGGGGAGCTCTCTAGAGTCTCTTTCATAGGCACTAATCCAGTTCACGAGGGCTCCACCTTCATGACCTCATCACCCTCCCAAAGGCCTCACTTCCTCATAGCATCACCTCTGGGGGTTAGGATTTCAACATGTGAATTTTGGGGCAACACGAACATTCAGACCACAGCAGAATTCATGAGGAGTGTTTGGGAAACGGAGGTGTCTGGTGTGGCTGGAGCGCTGGGGAGATGGCCAGGGAGAGGAGCAGGCAGGAGAGGCACGCGGAGGGAGGCTGGGCGCAGAGAGAAGCCTGGGATGCCAGGGTGAGCAGCTGCACTTTGAAGTGAGGCCTGTGCTCCCCGAGCCATCAGAACATAAGCCGGGACACCAGGTGTGCGGTGTGTGGGTGACGCCACATGCCCTGGGAGAGCCCTGGGGGGGCCCAGGAGGGGGATTAGTGGGGCTGAAGGGTCAGAACCAGCTTTGTGAAGGAGGGGCCCCAAGCCGGCTGGACAAGTGCTGGAATGTGGCTCCACAGAGAAGGGGAGCACCCAGGGGAGGGTGTGAAGAAAAAAGGGACACCCGTGGGGAGGAGGGGGGGCGGGACAGGGAGGGCGGGGCTGGCCCAGGCTGCTGATCCAGAGCGAAGGAGGTTAAGTCTCCAGACAGAGGAGCTAAGCTCTTGCGCTGTTTGCCGGTCCAGCTGCCCAGAAGCAGCAGCTTGGCGCCCGGCTTTGTCCCACAGGCCTCTGCCCCTTCCCAGCCTCAGGGCCAAGGATCTTGGCCCAGAGCCCACAGGCCCTGAGGTGGAGGCCCAGGTCACACCAGGGGTCTGTGTCTCCGCTCTCCTGACCCCCCCCCAGCAC